CTTTTTATGTTGGTCATAGGCGAGTACCATGAACATAATATCCATTGCACGCTTGGTGTTGAATGACTTTCGGGTCTCGAAGTAGACGCTGGACGGATATTACCGGGGTACTCATTGCACAGCCTAAGACAAGTGGTGGATGACAAGGCAGCGTTGCCTATTGCACGTCAGAACCGCGAAGTGGTCTCTCGATTGCTGCTGGTCCAGAGACAAGTGGCCTGGATGGTATCTATGAGCAAAGGGTTAACCCTTTCACCTGGTTTTCTCTATGCTTCTGRAGTCCTAATTGACTAGGACCGCGACGGTTAGCCTTTTAAACCCCTTGGACAGAGCTCAACTGATTCTATTCGAAGAACATATTTTATTGTTGATAAATGTGCATAATGAGTTTGGCTTAATCACTGTTGTATTTAACTATTCACGAATTATGATTGTGGACCTCTCACKCCGATGGACTGGATTACTCACACCCCCATTTTATTTTACAGGCGTTGCCTTATCATTAAATGATGGCCTGACCTCGACACCTTGGCACCAGCTGTTCTGGCAGGATTATTTCAAAGTGGTTGAGTAYTTTCAAAATTATTAAAGTAGTGAGTTGTTAAAATTGCCGCCGGCCTAAAGTAATCTTCCTGACAATTGTTAATTGCGTTCCTTTCGCAAATTTAGCTCACCAACGGCCATTGTAATGAATTTTGCGCGTGTTCAAATCAGCTTTAACTTTGTGTCTCAAAAATGGCCCTACATTAGGTAATAGAAAATTAAAAAAATATATAATGTAGGTAAGTTTTGTAAATAGACACAACGGCTTGTTTTTTGAATTTGAAGTTTACCTGACCATCAGTGACGGCCCGAGATCAAGAATAATGGGTCGGCCAAATTTACTGATAACAAATTTAAAAAAAATGTGCCTACGAAGTACCACTCAACGCTACGCACACAAGCACATGCAATCATGCACTAATAAAAACGGTAAAGGGTTAAAAATTAAACATAAAATTTTTTGCTAGTCAAAACATTTCCCGAGTCACAGACACTAGAGTTTAATATTCAGTTATTATTTGTTTTGGATGTAAAATTTGTTAGGTGCACTGAATTTTAAAAATATTTTAAAAAAAAACACCATAATTGTTTTACGTATTTCCTAAAAAAAGGAAAAAATTACACAAAATCTCACGCCTCAATAGTTTTTTTTTCTTTTAGAAAGGTAAACTGTCAGTTTAGCTCTTGAACCAAGTGAAAAAAGAGTTAAAATTTCATAAAAAAATTAATTTCTTGAGGGCAAAACTTTTAGTTTAAAAATCTATTACTTTGTGTAGGGCCATTTTTGAGACACAAAGTTAAAGCCGATTTGAACACGTGCAAACTTCATTACAATGGCCGTTGGTGAACTAAATTTGCGAAAGGAACGCAATTAACAATTGTCAGGGAAATTATTTTAGGCCGGCGGCAATTTTAACAACTCACTACTTTAATAATTTTGAAAGTACTCAACCACTTTGAAATAATCCTGTCAGAACAGCTGGTGCCAAGGTGTCGAGGTCAGGTCATCATTTAATGATAAGGCAACGCCTGTAAAAATAAAATGGGGGTGTGAGTAATCTAGTCCATCGGAGTGAGACGTCCACAATCATAATTCGTGAATAATTAAATATAACAGTGATTAACCCCGAATAATTATGCAAATCTATCAACAATAAAATATGTACTTCGAATAGGATCAGTTGAGCTCTGTCCGGGTACGAAAGGGTAGATAAATCGCAGTCCTGGTTTGAGTAGGACTCCAGGAGCCTAGGGAAAACCAGGTYAAGGGTCAACCCTTTGCTCATAGATTCCAACCAGSCCGCTTGCCTCTGGACGTGCAGACATCGAGAGACCACATCGCAGTCCTGACGTTCAATGGTCAATGCTGACCTGTCAGTAACCACTTGCCCTGGGAGTGCAATGAGTACCTTGGTAATATCCTTCCGGACTTCCGGACCCGCATCCAATGGGTCCTTCAACCCCGGCAGTGCAATGGATATTATGATAGCGATACTACGATCCAGTGACCTAAATAAAGGGGCGGCGCCTGGGAGTGCAATGAACACCTTTTTGACCTACCACTCAGCTGCTAATCACACATAGCCCTGAGCGTGCAATGGAGGCCCTCTTCATAGCGCAGGTAGTGTTCGTTC